TGTGGAGTAGAGGGGCACCAAGGGGCAGAGAGGGGGGACTAAGGGACGGAGGCAGAGACCAAGGAGCAGAGAGAGGGGAGACTGAGAGACACCAGAGGGGGAGAATAAAAGGCAAATCAATTACTCTCTTTATAGATATTTACTTCAGAACATACATAGCCTTATAAATGTATGGCGAAGACATATTTTCAATATATATTTTATTTTATTATGCAGTAAGAATTGGTAAGACATATTTTTATGAATAAGATGATCTTTATGAAGCCTCTATTCATAGACATTTTTCACAAGTAAGGGACAGATTTATAAATACACCGGGCTTTTGATTATCCCTACCCACCCACACACAGATCCCATCCCCAGACTCTAGCTGCAGAGAGAATCTCAATGAAGAATTAATTAGTGACTGGGGAGTTGGTCAGAGGCTGAGGACCAAGTCCTCATTTGCATAACACCCCAAAGAAGAGTATGTGGGTTGGTCTGGGGCTTCCAAACCAAACCAGTTCGTAGTGATCCCGTAAGACAGAGTAGAACTGCCCCATGGGCTTCCAAGGCTATAAATCTTTACAGAAACAGACTGCCACATCTTTCTCTCATGGAGTAGTTAGTTGGTGGACTCGAACTGTGGACCATTGGTTAGCAGCAGAATGACAAAGAAGATATGACACCTCCCCATCCTCCCCAATCCTCCTGGGCTGGAAATATCCCAATTTAGGTTGGGTTGAGGCTACCCCCATCTCCTAAAAAACACAGACAAGTACAAAGACGAATACTCATAAACTCAAGTGTATTGTTGTTAAGTGCTGTCGAGTCAGTTCTGACTCACAGAGATCCTGGCTTCCGAGGAGCCACTGGTGGGTTTGAGCTACAAACCTTACAGTTAACAATCCAGTGTTTATCCTACAGCGCCACAGAAGTTCTCCAAACCCAAGTGTACACACACACATACACGTTAGTGTGCTCTGTGTATTCATGTCCTCACACATGTATGCAAAACATACGGACCTCATTCATTTATTAATTCCACAAACAGTATGGTAGTTAAGAGCAAGGGTTCTGTAGTCAGCAGCCTGGGTTCGAATCCCAGCTCTGCTGCTTATAAGCTGTGTGACCTTGGATAAGTGAATGAGCCTCTCTTGGGCTCCATATTCTTCATCTGTAAAGAGGGACCTATTGCAGCGGGAAAATAGTAATAAGAAAAGATGTGACTCTTAAAAGTAAGGTGTATCTAACTGAAGTCATGGTCTTTCCAATAGCCTTATATACCAATGAAAGTTGGATAATGAAAAAGGAAGGCAGAAGAATTGATGGGCTAGGACTGCGGGTTGGAGAAGAATATTAAGCATACTATGGACTGCCAGAATAAAAAACAAATTAGTCTTAGAAGAAATACAAACAGCCTGCTCCTTACAGGCAAAGATGGCGAAGCTTCAGCTTGCTCACTTTGGACATGTCATCAGGAAAGACAAAATGCAAGAAGACAACTTCATAGTTGGTAAAGTGGAGGGTCCATGAAAATGAGAAACAGGAAACGGATCAACACATCAGCTGCAGCTATGGACTCAAGGTGGAGTGGGCCAGGATTGGTTTGTTCTGTTACGCAGTTGTTGTTGTCAGGTGCACGGAGTTCATTTCGACTCACAGCAACAAAATGACGTGTGTTTTAGTCTGTCTGCCCCTGCGTCAGCCTCACAATCATCGCTGTGTTTGAGCTCATTGTCGCAGCTACTGTGTCAACCCATCTTGTTGAGGGTCTGCCTGTTTTGTTTTTATTTTTGCTGATCATCTACTCTACTAAGTATGACGTCTCTTCAAGTTGGAGCTACTTGATGGCAACCAACAGCAACAATGGGCTCAAATATAGCAACAATTGTGAGGCTTGTGCAGGATCAGATAGTGTTTTGTTCTGTTGTGTGTAGGGTTGTTACGAATTGGAACTGACTCCATGGTACCTAACAACAACAAAGAGTGAATAAATAGGACCTTATTTCAGGTCATTATAGGATTAAATGAGTTCATGTATACAATGTTCTTAGAAGCTCTGCCTGGCAGGAGGTTAAATGTTGGTTGTTATTGTTTATAGAGCCGTGACTATGAGGCACATTCTGGGCAGAGCACAGGAGACAGAAGAGCAAACAGGTCCATGTCTTACCCTCACAGAGCTCAAGCGACTGAGGAGTCTAGTAAGAACAGCATTTATTTTTCTTTAAACAAAGATTATTGAGCACCTACTATATGCCACAAGGAGCTCTGGTAGCGTAGTGGTTACGAATCGGGCTGCAATTCGCAAGGTCAGCAGTTCGAAACTACCAGCTGCTCCGCGGGAGAAAGATGAGGCGATCTGCTCCCGTTAAGATTTACAACCTTGGAAACCCTGTTCAGGGTCACTATGGGTCGAAACCGACTCGACGGCACTTAACAACAACAACAACTATATGCCACGGTATTCTACCAACTGTGAATTCAGCAGTGAGCAAGACAGGCAAAATTCTCTAGTGGGACTTAAATGATTGTGGGAGAAGACAGATCTTAAAGAAAATGTATTACTTGCAGGTTAAATGTGTCTTACAGTGTGGCGCGATGGGTTAATACACTGGACTGCAAAGTCAGTTTGAACCAGAAGGTTGACAGTTCAAGTTCACCAGCCGCTCCTTAGAAACCCTATACAGGGTCACTATGGGTCGGAACTGTGTCAGTGGCACTTTACAACAACAACAACAACATTTATGCCCTATGACTTCTGGTGTGGCATTGTAGGATCAGCACTGGACTGTGAACCACAAGGTCGGCAGTTCAAACCCACCAGCTGCTCCTCGGAAACCCTATACAGGATTGCTATGAGTCAGAACTAACTTGATGGCACTTAACAGTAACAATTTAAATTTTTGTTAAGTGCCATCAAGTTGGTTCTGACTTACAGTGACCCTGTATATGATTTCTGCGGCTGTAAAACTTTTGTGGAAGAAGAAAGCCTCATCTTTCTCCTGCGGAGTAGCTGATGGGCTAGAACCATTGACCATGAAGTTTGTAGCCCAGTGCTTATCCTACAGAGCCACCTCACTCTAAGATATAAAATATATGTAATGAGTTTAACGAGATATATTTTAGTTATTCTAAATGTACTCTTTCCCACAGGTTTGTCTGTTTGTCTACTGCGGTGGCTTGTATGTTACTGCGATGCCGGAAGCTATACGACCAGCTATGCCAACGACACATGGTGGACAGGTTTCAGCAGGGCTTAAAGACTAAGAACAGACTAAGAAGTAACAGGCAGTCCACCTTTCAGGGATTAGCCACTGAAAACTTTATGAAACACAGTGAAACATCTTCTGACATAGTGCTAGAAGATGAGATCTTCACGTTGTTGTTGGTGGTGGTTATGTGCCGTGGAGTCGGTTCCAACCCATAGCGACCCTGTACAGGGTTTCCGAGGCTATAAACCTTTACGGGAGCAGAAAGCCTCATCTTTCTCCCTCGGAACAGCTGGTAGTTTCGAACTGCTGACTTTGAGGTTAGCAGCCCGATTTGTAACCACTACTCTACCAGAGCTCCTTCCTCAGGTTGGAAGGCACTCAAAATATGACTAAGGAAGAGCTGTCTCTTCAAACTAGAGTTGATTTTAATGACATGGATTGAGCAAAGCATTCAGGACTGACATTTGCTGATAGAGCATGATTCAAAATAGGAACAGACAGCTGCAAACATCTCCTAATAATTGGAATGTGGAATATATGAAGTTTAGAAACCTAGAAAAATTGGAAGTTGTCAAAAATTAAATAGAACACATTAATGAGCTGAAATTAATTGGCACTAATGGCATTAAGGAGCTGAAATGACCAGGTATTGGCCATTTGGAATTGGATAATCATATAATTTACTACGCTAGTAATGACAAATTCA